GCAGCTCTGTTAACTGAACCAGACATTTTGGGGGGTATTTTACCAGTTTTCCCACTGATGTCCCTTTCCCTGCTCTGGGATCTAATCCCAATACCACACTGCCTGCAGGATTTCCTGTTAAATTTAGTTCTCTCTTTCCTGTAGGTCCCAGCTCCCCACGACTTGAGGGCAGAAATATTGGACACATGAAGTCTCCCCCAGTGCCCTTAGGGCCAGAGGTGGGCCCGCAGCATGGAGTCAAACACGCATGGTTTCCTGGGCTGGCCTGACTCGGGAAGGTTCTGGCTGCAGGGAAGGTTCCGGGGCCCCGGGGTATCAGGCGTGCCAATGGGCGTCCTGTAAAGCCAGGGCACTTCAGCACCCTGTCACCTTATCTGCCAGGCGCCGGAGGAAGCGGGAGATTTGTTCAGAACATCAGGTCATTTCCTCCCTTCCTGTCGTACCTGCCGGCTCTGTCACCACCAGCCAGCGGACGCCGTGGACAAGGCACTTAGTGACATCTTACGGTGGGGCCAAGAACTGGCAGGGCCACGGGTCCCAAACTCGAGGGGACCTTCCAAATCCAGAGTCCCCCTCTGGGCTGGGTTGCCACACAGCAACATGAGACATCTAGTCAGTGAATGGACAACAGGAAACACTTTAGAAAAGGCAAACTCTGCCATGTACAGGTCCCCACGATTATCCAGGACCTACTCAACTAGAGAGTAGTTTCATTCATTTACTCGTTTAACAAATATTTACTGAATACTTACCATACTCCTGGCTCTTTTTTTAGGGGCTAGGTAAAAGCAATAAATGACAGAGTCCTAAGCTCAGCCTGAAGAGTTTATACGGATACAGAAAGCAGCACAGCAATCAATCAATCAATCCAGTACACAGGCAGGAGAAATGTTTGCCAGTTGTTTGGTAAGCGCTTTGAGCAATTCTGGGTGCCAAGCACTGTTCCAGATCCCAGAGATGTGACCAGGAACAACACTGTCCCTTAGCTTTTTTTTTTTTTTAAATATATTTTATTGATGTTTTACAGAGAGGAAGGGAGAGAGATAGAGAGTTAGAAACATCGATGAGAGAGAAACATCGATCAGCTGCCTCCTGCACACCTCCTATTGGGGATGTGCCCACAACCAAGGTACATGCCTTTGACTGGAATTGAACCTGGGACCTTTCAGTCTGCAGGCCAACGCTCCATCCACTGAGCCAAACCAGTTAGGGCCAGTCCCTTAGCTTTGAGACACTAAGACAAGAGTCTGATAAAAGGGGCGCTGATTTCACATAGGAAGGTTCAGGGAAGACACACAAGGAGTTAGCCTTGGGAAGAGGGTGGGGAGCATTCCAAGCAATTAGGGCAGCATGTGTAAAGGGCCTGAGGTAGAAAAGGTTGGCAGGCTTGAAGAACTGAGACAGAGAGGGGGGGGCATGGTGGAGGGGGTGCCTGTCTCTTGAGGTTCATTTCCCCAAGTCAGGCTTGGTCTAGCTAGCCCCTGGCACAGACACGCCCGTCATCTGTCCGTCCACAGTCTTCGCCTATGCTTCTCCCTATTGGATTGCTAGTCCTTTACTTTTTCGTTGGAAAGGGTTCTTTGCTCATCCTGAATGTGACTCATTTACTGTTACTGGTGTTTTCAATGTGGAGCTGTCAGATTTCTTTCTCTGGTGGTTTTCGTGTCATTTGAATAAAGTCATAAATGTGCTCTTCCATATTTTCTCCCACAACTGTCAGCTTTGTTGTTTAGGTTTTGTTACTTATGTAACAACAGGATTTATTTTTGCAACTAGAGTAGGAAATCTAACAACTTTCTTTCTTTCCAACTTAACAATTTCCCCAGCCACATCTACTGACTCGTCCCCCATCTTTCTCTTTTGAAATTATAAGATTTAAATATTTTACAAACAGTCATGTATTTTTTATAACAATAAAGACACTTAGTTAAATAAAATCATATAGCGATGTCTACCTTGCATCTCAGTGTCGTGCACAATGCCAGGCACCTCGTATGTGCTCAATAAACACTTCTGAACTGACAGCATCAACTTCTGTTTTCTACTTAGTGTTCTGGCAACAGACTCTTACGTCAGCTACAGCATCATTACAGGTTTTTGGAGGCAAGATGATGACATGGGGGGTTTTGTTCTTCTAGTTTTTCAGTGAGATTATTCCGAATCCCATTCCACGGATATAAAAAGTCATGTTGGGTGCCAGGATTCTCTATTTCAAAAATGAAGTCAGCAAACTGCGTATCATCTTCCAGCTCTCTTATGCCCTTTTAAAATTTTATTTTTTCTCTCTTATGCCTTTAATCATTACCAGATTATTCATATCACTCATTTTTAGCTATTCCTAAACTAACCTACTTTTCCTTCCTTTCGACTATGCAAAGTTTTACGTAATCGCCCCCCTTCCCCTCCCCCACCCATCCCCAAGGCGCCCATTCCTTTCCTGACATAAGCAGCCTTGTCAACGACTGCACATTCCCAATTTTTAGGCTGCCCCCAGAGTTACTGAAAATCCGGCAGAGCTGTATATTCATTTTTTTGCGTGGCACCCATCCCCATCCCATTTCCTTGGTCACTGCTTTGCTCAACGTTCAAGAATTACATTTAATTACAGGAGTAGAGACGGTCTTTGAGGCTATTAGCAATGAAATATAATCAATTGGAAATGGTTCCCTGCTGGGCAATTTCCAAGCAGAGCCATCACCCAGCACCAACTGTGCTCACAGCGTTTGGTCGCCATGAGCATCACTGTCCGGCGAAAGTTACGGCATTTGCTGAGCCCTGTGATTTCCATACAAATGCTATTTAATGTTGATGAAGCGAATGGAGGCCCACGGGACAAATGCCCAACATTCTTGGGGCAAAAAGGCCAGATTTTAAATAATTTCCCTTTTTGCTGCTTACTGCAATAATTATGTGTTAAACCGAGTGGTGAAATGTCAAATGATTTTATGTCTACACAGTGCTTACTCTGCTGCTGGATAGAGAGGTTGGTGGATTCGTGTTTTATTGTTGTTGCTGTTAATCCTTACCCAAGGATATTTTACCCATTGATTTTTTTAGAGAGAGTGGTTGGGAGGGAGGAGGGAGAGAGAGAGAGAGAGAAACATTGATGTGAGAGTGACACATCAATTGTTTGCCTCCTTCATGTGCCCCAACTGGGGCCTGGATTGAACCTGCAACTCAGGTACATGTCCTTGACCAGGAATCGAACCCGTGACCCTTCTGTGAGTGGACCAATGCTGTAACCACTGCGAACACCAGCCAGGGTGGGTTGGTGGATTTTATATTTGCATAGTGACACCTGGTAATTTTTTTTTACATTCTTTTAATATACTATATATCACTTAAACTATGCAAATATGTGATCACGTATGGTTTTTTAATTTTTTTTAATTGATTTCAGAGAGGAAGGGAGAGGGAGAGATAGAAACATCAGAGACTCATTCATTGACCAGCTGCCTCCTGCACTTCCCCCACCAGGGGTCAAGCCCGCAACCCAGGCATGCGCCCTGACCAGGAACCAAAGCAAATCCTCCTGATTCATAGGTCGACAACCACTGAGCCACGCTGACTGGGCTACGTATGGGTATTTTTAAAGCTCATCTACGAATGCCATGAAAAGTTACTGATACAATAAAGATAAGCAGCTTATCTAAACTACTGGGCACTTAGTAATACCTGGTGTTGGAGAAGGGGAAAGGACCCTTGGCCATTCTGCACTGCTGATGGGTGCAAACCGGCACAACCTTTGTGGGAAGCAATTTGGCAATATTTAGCCAGAGCCTTACGGATGCTCACGAACTCTGATCCAGTCATTCCATTTCTGGGAATCTACCTGAAGAAAATAATCCTACATATGGAAAGAGATGCACACATTATGGTGACAGACGTGGCATTATTTTTAATTCTAAACAACTAGAAGAAACCCAAATGCCCACTGAGAATAATGATAAGTAACTTAGGTTTATGAGTTGTATATGGCAACGTGGGGAACTGCCATGTTAGGTTTCAAAGTGCATACATCAACATATACTAGATAATGATATAAAAACATGCTTAGTCAAGCAAAAGACTAATAGAGGAACACACTAGCAACTACTGCCTATGGCTTTGGGACTAGGTTTAGATAATTTTACTTTTCTTTTTTTAAAACATATTTTTATTTATTTCAGAGAGGAAGGGAGATGGAAAGAGAGACAGAAACATCAATGATGAAAGAGAATCATTGACTGGCTGCCGCCTGCACACCCCACACTGGAGATCCAGCCCCCATCCTGAGCATGTGCCTGACCTGGAATTGAACTGTGACCTCCTGGTTCATAGGTCAACACTCAACCACTGAGCCACGCTGGCCTGGCGGTAATTTTACTTTTCTACATTATTTTGTGTTTTCCAAATTTTCTACAAGCATGAATTTAACATATAATAAAAATAACTGACTCTAATTAAGATGAATATTTTCTTTCGGTGTGAAAATACCAACGATGGGCTGTACTGTCCCCTCGTGCAGTGTTACTTGTCCTTGGGAGTGATGCTCTTTGGGGATATTTTACTGAAGAGAAGCCCGGAGTGCAGGTAAGTCATGGGTGGAACAGGGAACAATCCGAAAGGCCGGCTGCCGAAGTGCCTACTGCATGAACTAAGTGAGTAAGTTCCGGCTTAATCCCAAATTAGAATCCCAGAGGAGAGCAGAGAAACGCAAGAAAGCCATCCACCCCTCCAGGCTCCTGCTGGGCGAGAAGAGGTCTGTGCAATTCACCAACTGACTTACAAAGAGCTCTCTTCAGCTCGGCACCCAGGGATTTCCGGAGACTGGCAGAAAATGAGTTAAAATGTGCAAAGGTGGGAGGCAGGCGGAGAAGTGAGAGTCGATGTAAAATAGGAGAGATGTTCACAGAATTTTAAATTCTAAGGACTTTTTTACATTAAAATGAATGTATCGTACATATTTAAAACATGGTTATCCAAGTGCGTAAGCTGGCAGAGTGAGTGGGAATCTGGTGGGTAAATAAAGCTATTTTAATCATCTACTTAATACAGGCTGTTGTGAAAACAAGAGCAAAACAGAGGGTATCAAAGTAACAAAAGCCTTCCTCGTCTCCCCACATTTCCTTCACTTACCAGAAACAGCCACCATCCCAGTTCTTTCGTACCCTTTGAGACAATGTCCATGCGTGTATCTTCATTTTTAAGCATCAGCGGGGACTTACTGAACAGAGCAATGCAACTTACTTTTTATTCATTTAATGACTGCCCTTCACCCACTCTCCGTGTCAACACATGTGCATCAACCAGGCCTTGTGTTTCTGGAAAAGCTTTGTGGGGTCACCGGTGACTGTGACCAGCCCTACACTCACGGAAACGTTGGCTGCATCCTGCTAACGGCTCTCACGAACACGGCTGCTCTGAACATCCTGCAACATATTCAAATACTCCATCCAATTCATTCCACGGGAGAAAAGCCTGCACGCAGAATTGATGGGCCAAAGGGAACTTGCAGCTTGTATTTTGGTATTATCACTAAATTGCTCTCCAGTAAGTCTCCCCCTAGCAGAGCATACGAATTCTCTTCCCCCGTCTCTGACTGTGGAATTCAATTTTGTTTATAATGAACAGATGATTTCTATTCCATTGTGTTCACTTATCTCTATTATGTCCATTTATCTTCAAAGTACAGGCACTTTTTTACTTGGCCAGAGAGGATAAAAGTCACACATGCGTGATCTGGGGATTAAGGAAACTCCTGCACAGCCTAGTGGGCATGAGTAATTGAGAATTGTTTGTAATTAATAACTACTCATTTAAAAATACAAATTCTAATTAGCTGGCTCTTGATCTGGGGCTTATTATGTGCCAGACACCGTTCTAGCTCTTATTTAATCTGCATAACAATTCTGGGAGGTGCCAGTAGGCACTCGGATTATCTCCATTGTATAGGTGAGGAAAATGAGGTGCAGAGGTCTTAGGCGACCGGACCAAAGTCACGCAGCAAATGAAAGGACAGAGCCAGAATTCAACCCGGGCATCTGGACGGAGCCTTTGGCTCCTGGGCACCAGGCCATATCCCAAGCTCCTCTTTGGGAGATGCGGACGCACAGCTCCCTGCTACGCTTCATCACAGCATTTACAAGCAGGACGCTCCTGATCTGCCCGCAGTGGGAGGCGCCCCGAGCGGGAGCTGCAGCAATGGCTGGATGACAGGTTTTCATTTTTATGTTGCTTTTCTACCTTCCCTCCTGTGACCACGTATTGCTTTTGTACTAAGAAAGCAAAGTTATGTTAAAATATTGACAGTTCTTAAGGATAGAACACTTTCAATACCAGAAAGTGGCTCATCTCTAATGCCTTAGCCAACCTACCTTCCCACAGCCGCTCAGCGTGAGAAGGGTTTTGTGACCTCAAACCACAAAACCACGGAGACACCAGAGGCAGTTTCAAAATTCCCGACGGTAACAGCTGTCCTGTTGCTGTCTCACACACATCTGGGAGAGCCTGTATGTCCACAGAACGTAGCACAGACTGAGCCCTGTGGAGTGTACCACTGGAGGGGAGTGAGATGTACCGGACAGTAACAAACAACACCCCCTCCCCCAAGCAGGATCTAACCAGAACTGTCTGCTCTGGGAGAGAAGAGGCGGTACTTCCGGTGGGGCCAGGGTAGGAGGTGGCATTTGAAATGGGCCTTTGTGACCAGAGATCACAGCGTGAAGACCATGCACGTGCAGAGTTCCTGCAGAGCCTCAGACCTGACGGACAAACACATGATGTTTGTTTTCTAGAGGCTGAAGTCCCACACACTCACGTGAGGATCAAGCCACCTTATGAGCCGTTCATCAGAAAAAGGCTGTACACAGGTATTACAAAGAGCCCTGATGGGTGATCCCTCCAAAGGCAAAATTTGTTTTGGTGGTAGTGGGGGGGAATAAGTAGTCAAATGCTGGCGCTACTTGATCTAGTTATGATGGAAGCAACTTCAAGTTCACATTTTAACAAGAAAACGAGACCCCAGAAATTCCTTTAGCACTGGAGGTCCCAACGTAGGGTCAGGGCTTGGATGAGAAAATGATCTTTATTTCACTAGCCTCTACCTGAAACTGAGCAACTCTGTCCATTCTGGATGTAGGCACCAAACCACAGTAGCATGAGCAGGATCTGCGATTTGGCCAACAAATTATTTAGATATATTTCTCTATAACATCCTGGTTGTCACAAAGATCTCAAAATACCACTTACGCTCATCGCAGATCCCCAATGTCACAAGGTCACAGTACCAGTTATTGGTTCCCTCCCACCCACCCTCTTCCCAGACAGAACAAGAAATGAGAAAAGGACAGACAGGTAAGCCAAAACCAGCGGATGGTTATCACTAGGCCAAAAGGCTGAAACGGGCCCATTTTAGAGATGAGGAAACCGAGGATCGGAAGTAGGATCTCGAGCCAGGCGTCAGCCAGTTCTTCCCAGAGGCAGGGTTTTCTCACCTCCTTCCTCCTCAACCCCTTCACTCAAACAAAAGGTATTAGGCGTTAGCCTTCTTTTGGACTGTTCTGTCATCACCCTATTCAGGTCCATTTGTTACTCTAACAAAATCTTTCTTTATTGGAAACACAGCCCAGCCCCTGAGTTACAAATACGGATTCTGGAGCCACACTGCCTGGGGCTGAAGCCCACTCTGTCATAAGAAATTTTTCACCTTCGTGCCTCTGTTTCCAAATTTGAACAAGGCGGGGGACTAGGGTGAGTGAGGCAGCACCCTCAGGTGCAAATATAAAGTGGTGTCAAAAATCTCAGTGATCGCCTGGCTGTAGTGGCCCAGTGGACTGAGTAGCGTCCCATGGACCAAGAGGTCCCGGGTTCAATTCCCAGTCAGGGCACATGTCCGGGTTGTGGGCTTGATCCCCAGTAGGGGCCTGCAGGAAGCAGCCAATCAATGATTCTCTCACATCATTGATGTTCCTATCTCTCCCTCTCCCTTCCTCTCTGAAATCAATAAAAATATTTAAAAACTTAAAAAAAAAATCTGTGTTCAAGGTGAATTCTAAATGCAATTTTCTAAAATCCAAATCCAATGCAACAAAAAAATCCACAATGAACAAAACGCCAGAATTTTAATTACAGGCTCCAACTCTGCCCTGCATTGCAGGGCCCCGCCCTAACTCCCCGGCCAACTTCTAATAAAATTATTTACAAAAACAAAGTGGCTGGCCTGTGGGTCATAGTTGCCAACTTAAAAAGCACCGTAGTCAAATATTGTTCCTTGGCTCCTGAGTTTTCGGTGCCCTGGGCGAATGCACATCCTGGTCCCAGCTCTGGACGGCACCTGGAGAAGCAGATGAGTGAACACAGGCCAAGCTCTCAGAATAGCGTCCGCCCAGAGGAAGGACACACCACCATGGCAACAGAATGAGGCTCACCCTTTTTCTTTAAGGAAGAAATTAAATGCAGGGACAAACAGAAACTTGATGTTCTATAGTATGTAGAAGGCAGCAAGACGTCTTAAGCAGAGGCAAGCAAGGATGCCCCTTTGGTTTTTGGAGTCTCCACTGCAGTTCTCATAGCTGATCTGAATCAGGATTAAAAGGACCAGCTTTCCCAGTGCCCACCTGGAACTCCCCTATCTTCTGCACCGAGCAGCACCCTCCTCGAAGGGATCCCAGGAACTGCAGCATTCTTAGCACTTCTCCCCTGCATGTTCCCAGGACCACTTACCCTGCTGTCTGCGCTCCAACAGTCCTGCTCAGGGGTCAGTACACTGTGGCCCTCCAAACCAGGGCCTGCACTTTGTAGATAAAGTTGATTGGCACACAGCGATGCCCATTTGCTGACCTATTACCTGCGGCCGCGTTAGTTACAATGCAGAGCAGCTACAACAGCAGAGGTGACAGCATTGAGCAGTTCTGACCGAGACTCAAGCCAGCATAGCCCCAAATATTTACTATCTGGCCTTTTTCAGAAAAAGCTTACCCACCCCCTGGTCCAAGTGAAGTCAAACTACACACACACTCATTCGTCAATTTCCCCTTCCGGTCCACACCAGCCTTGCGAACGGAGGTGGGTATAGAGACGGCTTATCTGGGCTGCACCATGCCGCCGGCAGCCCCTCGGCCATATGGCTGTTTCCCATCTTATCTGGCCATAATCTGTGTATTTACCAGTCTCATCTGAGCAGGACGAGCCAGTTTATTCTCCCACTTCCTGAATTATTTCATAAAGTTGTATCGGAACACAGACTGACTCATTCTTTTTCTTATTGCCTACGTCTGCCTTTGTGCTAAAACAACAGTTTACTCACAAAAGAGACTTAGGGCCCCATGATGCCTCAGACAGTTACTATCTGGTCCCAAACTTGTCACTGATCTCGGCTGCACTGGGAACCCAAATTCACAAGGTGGAGCCAGGGTAGATCTAAGACCTGAAGCTCACGCAGCCGTTAGAGAAAGAAAAGCCTCCTGAGAAGGCCGACGTCTTCCCTGTTTATCCGAGGGAGATAACACTGGAAGTCGGGGAACATGTGTGTGATTCTGATCTCTGGGCTCCCACTTGAGAGGTCAACAGCCCTCCTGTTATTAGAAGAGACGTGCAGATAAGACTCCTGCAGACAGCAGCCCGGTGACAGCGGGCACTGCACTCCGCGACCACGCGCTTCTCCGAGCCACCGGAAACCATGTTCTAAAGCAAAGCACTGATCAATTCTATCGTGGGGGCGGGGGGGAGGGGGGAGGTCTCATTTTCATCATTTCCTTACAACAAAGGGATTCAACAGGGTGTATCACTCGCCGACAAGATTCATGACAAAAGCAGCTACATACCTCTTGCTATTTCATAAGGGAAATAGTCGCTTTTATATAACCTATGAACATTTGTTTTCATGTCCTTTCCCACTTTACCGAAACCAATGGATCTATTTATTAATCTGTCTTAATGGCACCGATTTTCAGCCTGACCAGGGACACACAAGAACTTGTATCAAACAGAGACTGTATTTGAAGAAAAGATGCCAAAGTAGGTGAAAAAAGAAAAAAAGCAATTTTGGATCAGTCACTAGCCACTGGCCTTCATACCCTCCTAAGTTAAGCACCATTTACAAGAGGTTTAGATTTTCACTTCTTGGTGGGTGCAGCGCACACCCCGTACTTCTGGTGATGAAAGTCGCTAGTCTCAGGCTGTCCCATGCATCACAGGCCCAGAAACAAGCGCAGGGCCCACTGAGCCCCTGGTCCCTTCTTCACACAAATACTGAATTTCACAAAGCAGTGACAGGCTGAGCTTGTGTTAGCTGATCTTTGCTGCCACCTACCGGTCACACCGCATCTCCGGTCCCAGCAGCTCCGACACTGGGAATCTGGGCATCTCCGATCACGGGAGGAGGGGTGGGCGGAGAGCAGACCACCACCTGTCCACGGGAGGAAATGAGTGTCCCTCTTACAGCCTTAGGCAGATGACTTTTATTTTAAGACAACTGACAAGAGGAACTATACAAAAACGTGTAAGGCGAGCACTCTGAAACCCACCACCACCAGGGTTAAGAACTAGAGCTTCCCAGAGCCTCGTGTACCCATCCTCCCCCTAACCTTTCCCAGTTTAGTTTTCGTGTCCCATGTAGTCTCAGTCATTTAACAACTGCACCAGAGACGGCCCCGTCTTAGGACTGGAGTCCAACATAAAGAAGCTGGTCCTACTGGGCAGAGCAGTGCTCAGTGGGCCCCACCCTGGTCACCTGGGCCGACTGGTCACCTTGCCTCGTGGGTTCTTGGAGGGAGGACAGTGGTGGGAGGCATCTGCCTTCTGGCCACAGGGACTGCAGCCGGGGTGTCTGGAGGCCCATGAGTTGGGGGCAGCCATGCCCAGAGCTGGTGACAAAGTCTGGCTTGATGGCCACACCCAATGGCTGGGAACAGCCTTTGCCTGGGTTTCTGGGCAGCTCACCACCTTCCTCGTGGGATCAGAGGCCGGGCTCCAGGGCGGCCTCCAGCTGCCCCATGGAGACCAGGGTGCCCGGCTGCCCCGAGGCACCGCTTTTGGGTGGGAAGGTGACCAAGTCCGAGTTCTTGTTCTCGCTCTGGTCGCTGTGCTGCTTCCTGTGGCATCGCAGAGAGTCGTCCTGGACGAAGGCGGCCCCGCAGGTCTCGCAGCGGAAGGCCCGCTCCACTGAGTTATGATTTGACTTTGGCCACGTGCGGAGAGCCGCCGTCTCAGGGCCCCTCCTTGCCCTGCGGGGCCCGGTTCTCTGTTTTGGCCTCGTCCCTGTGCACCCTGTCGAAGTGCTTGGCCAGGCTGCTGGACCGCTTGGTGTCGAAGCTGCAGAAGTCGCACTTGAAGGGGCGGTCCTTGCAGTGGACCCAGCTGTGCACGCGCAGGGCGGCCGCGCTGGAGCAGGAGTAGCTGCACTCGGGGCACTTCTCGGGGTGGTCGGCCTGGTGCAGCCGGCTGTGCTCCTGCAGGTCCGCCCGGTCCCGGCCCTGGAAGCTGCAGTGCAGGCACTTGAAGGTGTGCTTGATGCGGATGTGCGACTTGAGGTTCGCCTTCATGGTGCAGCGGACGTCGCAGAACTCGCACTTGAACGGCTTCTCCCCCGAGTGCACGATCATGTGCCTTTTCAAGTCCGAGCTGATTTTGAACTTGGCGCTACACAGCCAGCACTGGAAGGGGGTTTCTCCTAGCAACGGAAGGGGTGTTTCCATTAGAGCAGGCAGGCAACACAGAACTCCCCCCAAAACATGCGTCAGAACACTTGGCCGCAAAGAGACAGTTGGGTCTTTGAACTCCAGCTACCTGTAGCCTCCTAATAACACCCTTGACCATGTCTATTAACTCGCTGAATCCTCACAACAGCCCTGTGAATGGTCACCATGACTCCCCTCCCCCCATTTTACAGATGGGATAACTGAGGCTCAGAGGGGTCAACTTATTGATCTAAATAGCAGGGATCTGAACCCAGGCATCATTGCATCCAAGTCCATACTCTTCATGAGGACACTTCAGTTTCGATTCTAAACTCTCACTTAACCTGACATTTCAAAACTGAACACAGAAGGAGGAAGAGGTGCGTACAACGTTACAACCAACTGTCCCACATCCAGCTAACACTTAGAAGCATGCTTACTCTAGCGTTTAAGCCCAAGGACATCAGTTAATCGCCTTTTATTACTAGTGAAAGTTTTGCATTTTTCCAACTACAGACACTGAGCTTTATTTATAGCAGGAACACGTGAAGATGGCAGCAGGAGACAAATACTGAGAAGCTATAGCTTCCCCTGCACCCCTGGAGGCACTGCGAAGGGCTTCTAGTTCTTCTGGAGGTCGTTACTTTACGTATCATCATCGTGACGCTATGCCAAGACGAGATCTCACTTATCCTACACGGCACCCTTTCCCCCAGCGTCCTCCTGCATTGCTGGCTGTGGTTCTGACCTCCTAGCATTACCTCCCAAACTGACAGCCTCACAACTGTTAGCCCATCAGCTTCGGAGGTGTTTTTTTTTAGGATCCCCTCTTCTTGTCAGGAATAGCTTTATTTTTACATTTAAGTTCAACAACATTTGCGAATTCTCAAGCTTTAACTAGTTGTGTTCAACTTTTATTTATTATTTTTTTGTTAAACCCTCACTCCAGGATATTTTTCCACTGATCTTCTTAGAGAGAGTGGAAGAAAGAGGGAAGGACAGAGAGAAACATCGATGTGAGCGAAATACATCGATTGCTTGCCTCCTGCGCACGCCCTGACCAGGGCCCGGGCCAGGGAGGAGCCTTGCAACCAAGGTATGAGCCCTTGCCCGGAATCAAACCCGGGACCCTTTGGTCCGCAGGTGGTTGCTCTATCCACTGAGCCAAACTGGCTAGGGCTGTTTTCAATGTTTAGAGTCCAGCTCCACTGAGTCCTCTCTGAATGTCGTCGATGGGTTCCTTGACTTTAAGCGGAACGACGTGTAATGAAACCAGTTTTACCATAGGCTAACTGATACAGAGTTACGTTCCTATCAACGAAATAATGAAACAACATTGAACAATACAGTGTGATTTGAGGACCGCTATAGAAGTAATTTATATTATGACTGAGTATGTGATATTCATCAGAGCCAACTATGGCACCAGGATTATGTGCACCCCCTTCCAAGATCATTGCCACACCTGGGTCAGTTGCTAATATGCATCAAGGTTGAATCGATCCTCTTTTCCTACAGGTACATTTTGGGCCACATTTTATCATGCATGCTCTTGACTATACTGCGCATTTCTTGAGTAAAAACAATCTCATCATGATCTCAAGTTGTCCAGTCTTTCAGTTATGTAAGCATTTACATGGAATTTCTAATAAATTTTCTGAGTTTCTGAGGTGCTGATTTTTTCCTCTTAGCCTCCTATACAAGTTACCATCTTGCTGCTTCCCTTTATTGCAATCCCAGCTAGCTATAGTCACGTTCACATATCAAATACCCCATGTCAAATTTTTCTCCCTTGTTTTGACAGCGCTTATCTTCCAGTACCTCCCCTAGAATGGTGGCTTAGAGAAAAATCCGAGTCCTTGTATACACCTTTGTCTAGTCTGTCTTTGTACTTGAGACAGTTTGGCTGGGTATAAAATTCTATACTCAAAATGATTTTCCAACTTTGAAGCCACTGTCACTGAGAAGTCTTTCTAGGTAGAGGTTGCTCTAGCCACTCCTTGACCCTGCGTGGCATTCTGTGAAGCCTTCTACTCCCACGGCCCCTTAGAATTAGGAAATTCTTTTTCTCATTTGATTTCCTCACTTCTATTTTCTTTTCTTCCTAGACCTAGTCAGCAACCAGACTTCTGGCTTCTTATTTATTCTTAGTCCTCCAACACTTTTTTCTCCCTGATCTCTGGGATTTTAAAAAACTTTAGAGCCAGCAATCCTACTTTTAATTCACACCTCTTTCTTCTTACTACCCTTTTCCTAGAACTGTTCTTGGATGCAACATTTCTGCCCATGGATAGATGCCAATTAGAAGTGAAAATTCTCATCTATCACCCAAGTACTCTGTTAGCTCCAGAATGAGTTATTTGTTAGACTTGGCACTTTTTACACCATCATTTCCCACAAATGACTCAGAATCCACAGTTGATACTTTTGCTTAGGAAGAGTGGATCGGCCTAAGGATTAGACACAGGTGCCATAGAAATTTACCTGCTGGGTAGTTTGGGCCTTTCTGCCAATAGACTCAGCTTCTCTGAGCTCTGGGGCCTTGGCTGTCTACAAGTCCAGAGCTCTCAGGACAGCCAGACATTGGCTGCAAGGGCTGGTTCCAACTGCCTGGCTGCCTCCCAGTTATCTGCTGGGACAGTTTTCTATACCCGATTTTAGATGACAACGTATTTCTGTCTGCTCGCCCTCTCCCATGAATTCATTGAAAATTCTCATTTTATGAACCTTCTTATGAGACTCCCAATCCCCATTTTTCTGTGCCATGATCGATTATTGGGGTCTATCGATGGATCGATCATTATTTTAACGGGGTCTCACAAAGAAGGGAAGGAAAAGCTCTTTGCAAAGTCCAGTTTCTAGAACCAGAAGTTTGTGATTTGCAGTTACGTTCCACTGCTTCTGCTACATGTTTCTGGATTAAACTGTGCAATCAGCGTTTTAGTGAAAAGACTGAAACACCTCGTTTATACTTCAGAGAATTCAAGATACACCGTTGCTTCCTGGCTGCTGTTCTGGGTCCTCACCCAGCTGCATTCTATGCAGTCACGTTAGGAAACCCAGCTGTTGGGTTTTCATCTTTCAATTAAAACCACAAGCTTCACCATCACCACAGAGATTCCAAATTTCTTTACTTAACCACCAAGGTGTTGAAGTTGCTTGTGTTTAAGAAATTGGCAAGTCAGGCCCAGGAGTCCGGGTCAGGGACTTACCCGTATGGGACCGGAGGTGGACGGTGAGCTGGCTGGAGTTGCGGCTGGCGTAGGGGCAGAGCTGGCACTTGTAGGGCCGCTCGTCGGAGTGGATCCGCAGGTGCTTCTTAAGGCTGCTGCTGTCCACGGCGGCGTAGTCGCACAGGTGACACTTGTGGGGCTTCACACTGGTGTGGCACCGCATGTGCATGGTCAGATTGTCCTTCCGGCAGAAGCTCTTGTCACAGAACTCACACTTGTGTGGTTTGTCTCCTTCAAATACATAAAAGATTCAAGGATTTACGAGTTACTCTGATCAAGATTACTGCCAAGAGATGTGGGTCTGCCTCTTCCTTCTGCCCAGATACCCAGGGATAGAAAGATACTTAAATCTAGATGACCACACTGGGAGAGGAGAAGGTGTGCCATGCACTGACAGCTCAGAAATCATGGAGAATCCGAAGGGACGGGTTAGATAAAATCAGACTGAAGGAGAAAATCACAGGCCAGCCCCACTTGGGAACAAGGGAGTGGTCACAGGAGTACTCAGGTCTACTAGTGTCTTAGAACAGCTTCCTGGCTCACTAGTTGATGAACCACGTAAAGAATGGGCAGGAGGGTCCCTCCCTTATGTATACCAAACTGCAAGTAGCAACAGTATCCACCCTCCCATAGTTCCCCTGCCCCCGGCGACTAGGAAATGAGGGTGCTTAGAGCAGAGAAATAACGCAAACGGCCCAAGAAGTTAGAGATACCCTGGGAGACAGAGAACCCCATGCTCGGAACATCTCCACCACATCGAGGGTTCCTTCCCTCCCCTACAACCACGCCAGACCAATCATGCCCAAACATACAGGATTGCACCCAGGAACCAAATGCTTGGGGAAGCCAGAGCCAGGAAGGCACGCCTAAATCGATTTGCTCCAGGGTGAAGCTGGGATTTGAACCCAGGCGTGTTTGCTCCAGTATCTGCTACCTTGTGCTGTCTCGGCAATCTTTTTTTTTTTTTGACATGTCCAAATCAAGAACTTGAAGTTATAAAAGCAGTTTTCATTCCCAGGTTTATTTCCATTCTCTTCCAGTAAGTTGACTAGCAAAAGGATGTTACAACAGGGAAAGTGCCACAACCTTTTGCAGCGAGGATTCAGGATCTGGAGAAGGGGCTGCGCATAAATGGATACACTAGACAAGAAATATAAATTTAGAAGGCATGGGGGGAGGCAGGCCTTTCTCTAGCAGAGAGGTTCTCCAAATCTCTGGAACCATAGCTTTTTATTTACTAGAAGACACATTTGCCCTTTAGCTAAACAAACAAGCATATCAAAAGTAAAGTTTGGTAAACAGTAAAAGATTATCAGGTTAGGGCCGTGGTCAGCAAACTGCGGCTCGCAAGCCACATGCGGCCTTTTGGCCCCTTGAGTGTGGCTCTTCCTAAGCCTTAGGAGGACCCTAATTAAGTTAATAACAATGTACTTACCTATATAGTTTAAGTTTAAAAAACTTGGCTCTCAAAAGAAATTTCAATCGTACTGTTGATATTTGGCTCTGATGACTAATGAGTTTACTGACCACTGGGTTAAGGGATTGCCTTGAGCCACCATTGTCTCGACAGAACAATCGGTGCACAGCTTTTAGCCCTTGCTAAAGCCCAAGGTCCACCAGCCTTCTGTGTTCCCTGCTGTACTTTCATGATAGTGTAGACCAGTGGTTCTCAACCTTCCTAATGCTGCGACCCTTTAATACAGTTCCTCATGTTGTGGTGACCCCCAATTTCATTGTTACACATTGAAGATAATTAAAGCATAGTGATTAATCACAAAAACAATATGTAATTATATATGCGTTTTCCGATGGTCTTAGGCGATCCCTGTGAAAGGGTCGTTTGACCCCCAAAGGGGTTGAGACCCACAGCTTGAGAACTGCTGGTATAGACAATGGGTACCTTCCAGCAGGAAAGTAAAAGAAAAGATATGATAGCTAGTTCTAGATTGGGTAGGACAGAACAGAGCAAATAATTACTTATCAACACTAAACATAGCCATGGGCCTTAAGATGCCTTATCTAGAAATGGTGGCCAAATTCAGAAGCCCAGAATGGTAAGCTATTAAAGGTTTCAGAAAGGAAAATGTTCAGATCAGCACACAAGTTCTCAGACCACACTGGATGGTAGCAAGATGGAAATAAAATAAAGTTCTATGAAGTTCTACAGAAATTATTACTTAAATAGAATCCTACATTTGAACTAGCATTCAGTGGAAAAAGAAAAGCCAGCTGATGGATGACTCAGGGTATCATACTTGAATTGTATGTACACAGCAGGGGGGGAAAAAGGAAGTGGATAAAATGTGGGATATGAGAAAGTAATGAAATGGAAAGTATTGCTTCCACACCACAAGAGAGAACCAACCATTAAAAAAAAAAAAAAGCCAGCACACAAAATTTGGTAAAAATCAAACTTAAATGTAAGTACAACACACATAAATGGATTAGATTTACCTGTTCAAGATTTCAAAAAGTCTGCCTGGCTGGTGTGGTGTGGTTCCGTGGTTTGAGTGTCAACCTATGAACCAGGAGGTCAAGGTTTGATTCCTGGGCAGGGCACATACCTGGGTTACAGGCTGGTCCCAGTAGGGGGCATGCAGGAGGCAACCGATCAATGATTCTCTCTCATCATTGATGTTTCTATCTCTCCCTCTCCCTTTCCTTTCTTCTCTGAAATCAATAAAAAGGTATTTTTAAAAATTTTCAAAAAGTCAGCTTAATGTGCTGAAGAGACCTAAGTAAAAATGACAAAGAACAGAAAATGATAGAAAAACATTCTAAAAAAAATGCTAAGAGAAAGCAGGAATATCCATTTTAATATAGAAATTGCGATGTTGAAAGCCACTAGAAATTTCATATTAAAGAAAAGATAAAACTCACCCAATAGATGTGAATCAAACTTTTATGACTCTAACATGGTCTCATAAAAGGTTTTCAAAAACGTCAGCCTGAAAATTGTAGGACATATTTTCAAACAATTTTTGTTCATGAATCCAAATCAGATTACAAACCTCCTAGGGATGGGCAGTCAGAGTGCAGTGCATCAAAACCCACAGCCTGTCACTTTTTTGTTGTTGTTTATCCTCACCCCAGGATATCTTTTCCATTGCTTTGTAGAGAGAGTAGAAGGGAGAGAGGGAGGGAAGAGAGAAACATCGATGCGAGAAGACACACTGATTGCTTTTCTCCCACATGTGCCCCAACTGGAGCTGGGATTGAACCTGCAACCCAGGTCCATGCCCTTGATGGAGAATCAAACCCAAGACTGATATATGGGCCACTGCTCTAACCACTCAGCACACTGGCCAGGGCGCCATAACCTATCACTTTTAAGTTCATTTCTAACAAAAGACTGAAAGCAAGTGAGCCATATGGGAGTCAAGAAACTAGAAGGAATAAAGGAAGATTCCAGCACTTGATCAATAAAAACCAAACTTGGTTGGTAAAAGGGGAGGTTTGCTCAAAAAGAGAAGATTCCGCCTGGCTGGTGTGGCTCAGTGGTTGAGTGTCAACCCATGCACCAAGAGGTCACTGGTTTGATTCCGGTTGGGGCACATGCCCGGATTGGGGCTCAATCCCTGGTGGGGGCCATGCAGGAGGCAGCCGATCGATGTTTCTCTCTCATCACAATGCTTCTATCTCTTTCTCCCCCTCCCTCTCTCTCTAAAAATCAATGAAAACATTTTTAAAAATGTATTTTTTTTTTTTTTAAAAAGAGAAGATTCCAATAGATCAGGGTTCTCTATCTCTGCACTATCGCCATTTTGGGCCAGGTTCTTCTTTGCTGTGGGCTGTCCTGTATATTGTAGCATATTTCACAGCATCCCTAACCCCTCCCCATTGCCTGCCAGTAGCACCTCCCTCCCCAGTTGTAAGAGTCAAATAAGTCTCCAGATATTGCCAAATGTCTCCTGGGGAGGGAAGGGAGTAACGTTGTGCCTGGTTGAGGACACAGGCATTGCAAAGACAAAGGGGAATAGAGATGGACAAAGTCAATCACAACTATCAAGCAGAACTTCAGGCCAATAAATTTGGAAGACGTGATGAAATGGATGGCGGCCCAGGAAGATATAAAATTACAGAGTAAAACGGACCGGTGACAATGTAAAAAGCTGCCATGTCCGAGATGCACCCCGAAGCTGTTTACTACTGAGGTGTCTGCTGTCCTTCCTGGGAGAATTCTGCTCCCTGCCCCGGGGCTGGGTGTGTGGCTCGCTCTGCCCAGGGAAATGAGATCAAAACTGATGAGTCACTTTTTTTTTTTTTTTAATTTTATTATTTATTACATGTGTCCTCTTAGGCTAATGTACTTCCGAGCCAGTGTGTCATCTTTTCTCTTCCCCAGATGACCTGGAACATTCCAGATCAGGGATTCCTCAGTTGGGACTTGTAGATAAAATCCAGGGGGTCAAAGACCTTGTGTGGGAAATGATCACCTTTTGTTCCTAAAACTTCTAACTGAAATTTAGCATTTCCTCCTGTTGTGAATTTGGTTAGCTGACCACACTAATAATGGCACCTGAGACCCTTGTGAATAGACATGAGCCAGTTCTCAAAGCAACATTCATGCTCATCGCTGCTCTTTAAAGATGGGAGTTAGCAGACCAGCCACAAGGTCCTAAGATTCAATGTGGGGTTTCTCAGTGCTGATGACCATACTAGCCATCTGGGAGGTGGGGTGGGGGTGGCATTAAAATGCAGATCCCCGCCCCCTAACTTTCTATACTATACTATAATCCTATATAATAAAAAAGCTAATATGCAAATTGTCCCCTTGGGAGTTTGACCAGGAGTTCGACCGCTCACTATGACGTGCACTGACCACTAGGGGGCAGCGCACAATGAAGGCCCCAGACAGCAGCCAGCAACTGGGGTAAGGAAGGCCCTAGCCGGCAGCCGGGAGAAGGAAGGCCCTGATCGGCCCTGATCACTGGCCAGGCTTAGGGACCCTATTCATGCACTAATTTCATGCACTGGGCCTCTAGTTAACATATAACATTGTGCAAGTTTAAGGTATACAATGTGATGATTTAATATCTATGTATACTGAGAAATGATTAACCTTATTGTGATCATAGCTCCATCACCTCTGATAATTACTTTTTCTTGTAATGAGAACATGTAAGTTACTCTTAGCAACTTTCAGGTATATAACCCAGGATACAGTATTAACACCAGCCACCTCACTGTACCTCAGATCCCCAGAACGTATTCATCTTATAACTGGAAGTTTGTACCCTTTGACCACTATCTCCTCACTTCACAAGCTGAACTCATAAAAACAAAAAGTAAAATACAGTTTCTGACTCAGTGGACCTGGGTAGGGCCTGAGATTCTGCATTTCAAACAAGCTCCCAGGGTTTCAAGGATTCAACGTATTAAAACACCACACACTTAACACTTTGGTAGCAATTGTACTAAAATATAGCTTTTAATGGGACTTGACTACATTTAAAAACACTACTCTGGGAAGGGCCCTGGCTTCACAAAGTTGCCAGGAGTCCACAGCAGACACAAGGTCAAGTAATGCCTTTATCTGGCGTGTTCTAGACAGAGGCTCCCACTGGGTTTTGCAGAAAAGCCTACAGGCACGGAGCTGTTACCTGGATGGGGACAGGAACAGGTGGGGGTGGGGAGGGGACGCTGGATGAGCGGCGGTCTCC